GTTTAGTGTTTGGTATCGGAGGGGATCTACTACCTCCGAAGAAGGATTTGCATCGATTTGTGAAGTGGCCCAAGGTTGTTCGCATTCAAAGGAAGAAGATGATCCTTAAGCAGAGGTTGAAGGTTGCACCAGTTTACCAAGACTCTTGATAAGAACCTTGGTATGCAATAAAACCTTTGCTTGTTGTTGCGCATTACATTGGCTGATTTTGATTTATTTACTCATTACTGTAATATGCTATATTACTCAATCTAGTGTAAGAAAGAAGAGTTGTCACCTTAAAGACTAGGTAAAGGTGACTTGTTGAACCATGTAATTAGTTGTGGAAGGTTTTAATAGGGACCTATGATTTAGATTTGGTTTTAGTGAATGTTTTCTGTATTTGAATTAATAGTATAATACCTAATGGTTTGCTTATTTTTGATGTTCATGATCTGTTATCTTGTGGTATCCTTCATCCCTAATTATTTGGGTAAATTATAAATTTTATCACTGAGCTTTACTTTCTCTCCTATTTTGCTCACTAAACTTTAAAAGTTTTCAATTTCCTCATTAAACTTAATGCATTGGGTTTTTCGATTACTGAACTTTACTCTCTCTCCCTTATTTTGGTCACTCCGTCGTTAAATAGTTAACGACATTAAAAACGAAGTTGTTTTTAAAAAACAAAATGTTCATCAAAATGACGTTGTTTTATATCTATATAACAACTCATTTTAACGCCGTTAACTATTTAACGGCCGAATGACAAAAAAAACCCAATGTATTAAGTATAGTGAGGAAATTGGAAAGATTTAAAGTACATTAAGTGAAATAAGAGAGATAATAAAATTCAGTTACCAAATTTGTAATTTACCCTAATTATTTTTATAGTCTATTTCATCTTTGTTTTATTCTTTCTATTTTTTTTTTCTTTTGGAATACCTTTTGGTCATAATGAGTCGGATTTGGCTTTGCTGCCAATGACGGAGCTAGAACTATTTTTGAGGATATATATATATATATAACGTAAATTTTTTAAATAGAACGTACATCGTAGTAAAATTACTAATTAACCCAAAAAAATAGTGCCTTGGGCAAAAACTAATGATTTCATTACACTGCCTTGTGCAGAACAAGCCAGAAATTGGTTGTTATTGCACATGATGTGGTTGGTAGTGTGGCTCGCTGCGGAAAACCAAGGCTGAACAGGAATATCATCCTCTGCTCTGTTTGACTCATTTCCCTTGTGCGTCATCTCACTCAGGTAAAGGAAATGGCTTGCTCCTCCTATTTGACCGTCTTATCCCTCTCTTATCTGCCTTTACTCTTCCAACCCATCCTCGGATCATCAGTTCATCACACAATCGTCCTACCAACAACGACGCCGGAGAACCATATCTTTAAAATTGCGATATTTGCCGACTTACACTTCGGGGAGGACGCCTGGACTGACTGGGGACCGGTACAGGATGTGAATTCCATCAAGGTCATGTCAAGTGTTCTGGACAATGAAACTCCAGGTGATATTTTCACTCTTCCTTTACTCTTCATATTTGGGCTTCGTACTAATCAACACTTGTTTAGCAGATTTCGTAGTATATCTAGAAGATGTTATTACGGCCAACAACATCCCGATTGCAAATGCAAGCTTATATTGGGACCAGGCACTGTCTCCGACAAGATCGAGGGGGATTCCATGGGCAACTGTGTTTGGAAACCATGATGATGCTCCGTTCAAATCCAGTGGTTTGCTGCCCTCGGAATTCCTCCGCTGGTTTGTCCTGTGCCCAATTCATCATATTCAGGAAAGCAAGGGGATGAATTGCAGTTCATATTCTATCTGATTAAATATAAAATAAGTGCTCAAACTATACAGTTTTTCGTGAATAGGTGCCTACAATATTTGTTTGAATAATCTCAGTACTTAACGTTACAAACGTTATCATTTAATTGTCCAAACAATAAATATTGTTAATTTCCTCCGTTAAGTAACATATGTCACATTTTAATAATTTTAAAAAATTTATTTAAAATTATATGTTTGAACAAAAACACACAACTTTCGAAACAGAATGGAAAGGGCGGTGGCGGCGGCAAATTAGGCTTAGGATTTATGATTTTTATAAATTTGGGATTTTTTTGTAATTTAAGTAAACTAAGGTTTTTTATAAATATAATAAATTTTTAATTTAAAACGTGTCACTTAACGAAAAAAAAAATAACGATAGTTATTGCTCAGGCACCTAAAGTGGTAACGTTTGTAACATTAGATACTTATATGATTAAAAAATACTGTAGACAATTATTTGTAAAAAAAGGTATAGTATGGATACTTATTTTATATTTAAGCCTATTCTATACTAGGAAACATAATAATTACCTTACAAAACCACACCACATGTGCAGTTTTAGGGTAAGAAAGTAGTTCTAGGGGAACATCACGATTGGAGCTGATGAAACATGAGATTGATAATAATGTGCTATCATTATCTAGAACCGGACCTCAATATCTATGGCCGGCTATATCCAACTATGTTGTCCGTGTCTTGTCCAAATATAAACCTTTAGTGCATCTCTACTTTCTTGATTCTGGTGGAGGTACCTATCCACAAGTTGTATCAGCAGCCCAAGCCAGGTGGTTCGAGCACATATCCGAAGAAATTAACCCGATTAGAGGTACGAAAATCGAGTCTTATCAGACCGGTTTCTTGAGTTTTTAACTTATACATTAGGAAAAGAAAACATTGCAGAAACATCATTTCTTAAATAAAAACCAATGTTATTGCACAGGGTGCCTGAAGTAATCTTCTGGCATATACCAAGTAAAGCTTATAGGAAGGTGGCTCCTATATTCAGAATACATGACCCTTGTGTGGGTTCCATTAATTAAGGAAAAGGTTGCTGCTCAAGAAGCTGAAATGGGCATCATGAAGATACTTGTTAAAAGGCCATCCGTCAAGGTGATTTCATGGATAAATATGCTTTTCTTCTTCTTTTAAGAGTCGTACTCGAATTTCCGAGGTTCGAACTTGAGATTTTGTACTTGTTATAGTCATTTGGAGCACAAGCACACATATGTACTAATGAGTTGCATATCTAGTATGTGTTAGAAGAAACCTCCATATGTAGGGTTAAGAGGGGATGTTAACTTGTTAAAAGTCCATCCGTCAAGGTGATTTCATGGATAAATATGCTTTTCTTTTTCTTTTAAGAGTCGTACTCGAATTCCCGAGTTTTGAACTTGAAATTTTCTGCTTCTTGTAGTCAATTGGAGCACAGGCACACATATGTCCTAATGAGTTGCATATCTAGTTTGTGTTAGAAGAAAACTCCATATGTAGGGTTAAAAGGGTATGCTAACTTGTTAATGCAGGCAGTGGTTGTAGGGCATAACCATGGATTGGACTGGTGTTGCCCTTTCAGGAAGCTTTGGCTTTGCTTTGCTAGACATACAGGTTACGGTGGTTATGGAAACTGGGGTAGAGGATCTAGAATCCTTCAAATCAATGACAACCCTTTCTCCATAAGCTCCTGGATAAGGATGGAAGATGGTTCGGTGCATAGTGAAGTAATCCTCAGTTAATCGATTCTCAACACATACTATTACTCTTTGTCTAATTAAAATGCCGTCTTATATATTAGAGGAAGTCGGGACCCGCCACTAGGGGTGAGCATTCGATCAAGTCGTGTAAAAAAATTTCGAGTTATTTGAGTTGACGAGTTGTATTTTGTAACTTGAATTTAACTTGAAATTTTTTAAAGTCGAGTCGAGTTAATCGAGTTTCTATACAATTTTTATTATAATTATTTATAGCATTATGGTAAGGATTGATTCTAATTTTTTGATTTTTTCTAACCATATATATATATATATTCATATTCTTTTCACATTATAATGTTATTTAATATATTAAATACAATCTAAAATTATAAAATATATTTACAATGTTATATTTTAAAGATGATATTTTGAGGATAAAGTATTGACGAGAGTATAAAAGAGTTAATGAATTGATGAGAAGAAAGAATTTAACAACAATTACAGTTAAAAGATCAAATTGAGTAAAATGCAAAGTTAATAATCTAAATAAAAAGAGTATATTTTTAGTAAAAAGTAGGAATTGAAGTTAGGTAGATATTTTATATTGGTATAGGACAACGTGGTTCAAATTTGAAAAAAATAATGGATTTAAAATGAAGGATGAATTGAAGAAATAAAGAAATCATGCAAATTGAGAGACTAGATTGAAAAATTAAAAAATATTATCAAAAAGTGGAATGGAAAGCACATAGGTATTCTTTGAATGTCCAGGAGCATGTGGTTTAAATTAGGTAAAAAAATGGAGTTAAAATGAAGAGGAATTGAAGGAATAAGGACATCATGGACTAAATCGCAAAACTATCAAAATAGTCAGTCAAATTTTTGGTTTTTCGAGTAACTCAAAATTTCCAAATTCTAACTAGACCCGAACTCAAAAATCAAATTGATAATTCAAGTTGACTCGAATAATTTGAAGTTGAAAAAATCGATTTTTTCAAGTTGAGTTGAGTTTTGCTTACTCTTAATCAATAGGGATAAAGGCATTTTAAATTATTAATTTAGTTTTGATATTTTTAATGGAAAATTATTAATTTATAGGTAAAAAAGCTCTTATATCCCATTTAATTTTAAAATTGGACAAACTAATCACTCTAAAAGAAAGAATAATTAAAGGGTAAACTATAAAAATAGTCCCCTGTTTTATGAGGCTGTTGACATCCTGAACCTTGCATAAATGCCTCAAGGTCAAGGCTACTCATGGATTTTAAATATGGATCAGAAAGATGAATGGTGTTTCCACTTCGACTTCCACTCCTCGGTCGTCAGTTGTTTTAGACTTTTAGTCACATATGAACCTGGTTCCATTGGCTTCAATGTAACTGAATCTCTTATTTGGAACTGCATATGCGTTCAATGAATCAAATTCTGAATATTTTTATATGAGGATTCTGAATCAGAGAGCACCATGCATGCTATCCATGCAATACATATTGTATTCACTCTTATAAGCATCAGCATGGAGTTTGCATTGAACGAAAAAGCTTGTCTGAAGCAGTGGTCTCAACCATGATGTCCATTTCACTTCCTCATCATCATCATAATTTGGACCACCTCTTCCCTGATTTATATTATCATGAAATCAAAGCAAAGCAAAAACTCATCTCAATTGACTCATTTACAATCAGATACTTGTTTATATAAGCCAGAAAAAAGAATTTGATCATTAAGAAAGATAATAATTCAACAAGGTGGTGGAACTGGAAGTGCTAACCATGATTCTTCTGCTTTTTGATTTGATTTCTCTAACAGCTGATTCTTGATCATTTGGAGCCAGTTTTGGGAGAAAGAAACTTTCTAAATAAATGGGGTTTAATTACTTCGTAGTTTGTAGTGATGGGTGATGGATGAGGGTTACTTAAAATTTCTTTTATTTGTTTCATATTAAACAATTAGTTAAACACCGAAAACCTAATAGATTTTTTTTTATTTTTTAATCATCGGTATATGATTTATTGATCAAGTAATCCAAATCACATACTGCATAGACTCATTATAAGTAAGGGTGCTCAAATTCAAATATCTGCATTTTCGGGTACCTGAAGTATCAGGTACCCAATTCTCCAGGTAGTATATTTGTCGACCTGACACGGCCAGTTAAGTTCAGATAGTCGAGTACCTGTAAAATTCGAGTACCCGTATTTTCGGGTCACGGATACTCGATTCATATATATATATATATATAGATATAATTTATTTTAAAAAATTACATTAAAAATATATAAAATCCAAAAAGTTCATAATACACACCATCCACACACAAAAGTTAATGATTTAAAGTTAGTTTTAAAGAAAAATTATCACAAATCAACATATTAACAGATCAAATCAATCGGGTCGGATATTTTTAAACACCCTAAGTTATAAAGATAACCTCTTAACCCAATTCATTTCGTTTACAATGAGAAGATTTAAACCATTAACTTTGCTTAGATAAAATATAACTTCAAAATAGAGTAAAAAGAACCCCACTAGTTTTTAATGGAGATGAGTAAGGAGAAAATATTTAATTATTAATGGGCCTACCTGAAGATTAGGTGAGAGATTAGAATTGCAATTAATTAGTTAATCATATAAACACACAGATTTATAAAATTGTCACAGTTTTTAAGCAATAAGATCTGAAATAACTTAATTGATTGTTTGTAGTAATTATTTTAAGAGCTACATTACAAGGAATAATTTGGACTTTGGGAACTGAGATTTTATTGCTTCAGAGGAATTAAACAATGTGGAGCCCCATCACCATTGGTTTTTAATTACAACTTTATTCCTTCATCTTCAACTTAATTAATTATTTTGGTTCCAATACATTAATGACTTTTGAACTAGGGTGACGAGTTATATTTTATGACTCGATATTAACTTAAAATTTTTTCAAGTCGAGTTGAGTTATTTGAGTTTCTATAAAAATTTTGTTATAATTTCTTATAGTATTATGGTAAGGATTGATTCTTATTTTTCGATTTTCTCCAATCCAAAAATATTTTATTAACACTCAATCCCGCCCCGCCCCAATAATTTATAGTTTTTCTCCCATCCGATTTTTATAATAATATATTTATAATCATTTATTATATTTTAAATTATTAAAATAGAATATTTTTATAATAATTTAATATATTTTTAATAATTAAATAATATATTTAACATTATAAAAATAAAAATCTTAAATATATTATATATTTTATATTGGGTCGGGTCGGGTCAGGTCGGTGATTTTTCACTTTAAACCCATCCCCGCCTCATCCCGAACCTAATTAGTATATAACCCACCCCGCCCCACACTGAACCCCCAAAACTAAAAAATGCCCTATAGGGTCGGGTCGAGTCAGGACCCATTGGGTTCGAGTATTTTTTACCATCCCTAGATATTTTGAGGGTAAAGTATTGATGAGAGTATAAAAGAGTCAACAAATTGATGGGAAGAAAGAATTTACAAACAATTACAATCAAAAGACCAAATTGCATAAATGCAAAGTTAATGCACTAAATAAAACGAGAGAGTATATTTTTAGTTAAAAATAAAAATTGAAGTTACATAGGTATTCTATAATGGTATAAGAGTATGTGATTCAAATTTGGTAAAAATGAACTTAAATAAAGAATAAATTAAAGAAATAATGAAAAGTTGGACTAAATAAAAAAATAAAAAATATTAATAAAAAAGATGAAACATGTAATCATTCTAGCAAAACATATAATGGGTGGATCTAGAGAGGATAGGTGGGTTGATAGCTCCCCATAAAAATTTCAAATTCTTATATATTTTAGATATTTTATTTGTATTTTCTATTGGAATATGTTTTCGTCCTTTCTAAAATTTTATAAGTTCTTTACTACTTAAAATTTTATAAGTTCATCCCCTAAATTGAAATCACACGTACATCCCTACATATAACTAAATTATGATAAAAAAATTTGTTTTATATCACAAATAAAATTAATCATTTATGAATTGAATTGTTGCCAAAAAGAGAAGTTAGCTTTGTGGTTAACAAAAGCAAGTAAAAGGGGAGAAAAGTACATTACAATTCACATTCTTAAGCCGAAAAGAGTCCAAATAAGTCATAAGTGGGCCTCGTAAAGCTTATATTCCTCTGAATTGATTTTATCTCATTTTTATATTATGTGTAATATAAAATTCTACAAATTCATAATATAATATAAGAGATTTATGTATTTTATTTGTTTATAATGATATATCAAGAGGATGTGAAGAGATGTTACATTAAATACTTTTTGTATTTGTATTGATAATTTAATTTCATATTTTATATTTTTAAAATTTGGCTTAATTATAAAATAAGTACTCAACCTATAACGTTTTCTACGAATAAGTGCCTACAGTATTTTTTTGAATGATCTCGGTGCCTAACGTTACAAACGTCATCACTTTAGGTGTGCGGGCCGTAAACGGCGTTAATTTCTCCATTAAGTGACGTATGTCACATTCTACTAATTTTAAAATTTTTATTTAAAATTAAAAGTATATATTTTAAAAGAAACACACAAACAAAATTTGAAATAGCCCCAAAACTTTGAAAACCTTCATTTCAACCTCGAAATCCACGCCGGCCGCCGGCCTTTTCCGTCGGTGAAGCTCCACCCGACCTCAAATACCCCCTGTGATCAACACTCCTATGAAATCGTGACCGATCAACGTTTTGTACTTCGTGAACCTTAGGATGAAAATGATTTCGACAGTTAATTAAAGGCAACTACGATAGCGTATGACTAGGAGAGTGCTAGGAACTAAGTTAGCGGCGGTGGTCGTAGCCAAAAAGAGCGACGACGGCTGGTTAGGGTTAGGATTTAAGATTTTTATGAATTTAGGTTTTTTTTTTGTAATTTAAGAGAAATTATGGTTTTTATAAATATAATAGTATTTTTAATTTACAAAATTAAAATTACCAAAATATGACACATATCACTTAACAGATAACATTAAAGCCAGTTACGGGCCGGACACCTAAAATGATAACGTTTGTAACGTTAGACACTGAATCATTCAAAAATACTATAAACACTTATTCATGAAAAATGGTATAATTAAACAATTATTTTTTAATTAAGCCTTCAAATTTTAACATAATTGTCTTTTGAAAATCCAATATCGTAATACAAAACACTATATCCGTCTCAACTTGTTTATATTATTATACTGGTATGGACTAAATAAAGAAATATTATATTGTTTACTGAAAGATTACATGCAGCATGTGGGGTTGGAATCTCGTGCAGAACTCTGCAATACAATGGCATGTTGTTCCATAAAGTTTGTCTGGTAAGAGGAATTGCTCCTTCATTGATATCAATCAATCAACCTCACCTTTATCTTTTTTTATATAACTATTTTACCTAATTTATATATCGATTAATCCAAATATAATATCGAAGAGATAAAGACGATCTTTTAATCCAAATTTATTATATTTGGAAACATTAAAAACTTGAATCTGAAATATTATTTAAGGAATATAATATATCATCTCATTAGACCAATTAATGATATGTACCTTACTTTATTATCTTTGGAAACATTAAAAACTTGAATCTCAAACATTACTTGAATCTCTTTATTTAATCTTTTTATTGAGAAATATTAATTTATAATAAATAAAATAATTTCTAAAAATTAACTAAAATAGGATACTCCATTGGTGTCTGTGTGACTGTGTCGACACCATAGTTTCATAATTGCTCAGGCAGAAAAAAGAAACACACATCGGTTTCACTTCGAATATATTAATGAACTTGTCGGACCTTTCAATTATATACACAATAACAACCCTACTTCAGTACTCCATCAAATTTTAATCTAACTAAAAGTTCGTGGATTTTAAAAAACACAATATTCCATTTTAGCCATTTAATTATTTTTTAAAATTATATTTAATACTATATTTTATTTTTATTTTGATCTCTATCGTTAAAAAATGATAATATTTTTTAGATAAAATATATGTATTACATCCGAAGAGCAACAGTATCAAGCTGTTATAAGAAGGCTAAATTATCTCAAAAAAATGTTGATATGATCTTCTTTGTTTTTTTTTATCTTTTATGTTATTTTTATCTCTTAAATAACAGATCAAATGTCATTTTAAAAAAAATATGAACAAAATTATTTAAAAATAACATGTGAATTGTTAATTAGGAGAAAAAATAACATAAAAAACAGAAAAGTTAAAAATATCATGGTAGTATCATTGTTATTTTTTGAACAATAAGATATTAAAAGAGATGCATAATATAATATTAAATATGATTTTGATAAAAATAATAATCAAATAGATAAAATATAAATACAAGAATAAAGAAGGTACCAAATAAGTAGTTTATCATGAAATTTTATTTTATTTTTCAATAGCGTGTGATATTTACAAGGTAGTATTTACTCGTGATTTTCTTTTAACTATTGATAACATACACATTGCAGACAAAACTACTCGAATTTAGGACTTCAAAGGAAAACAACATTCATTTTAACTATGGAGGTTAATCAATGGATTCATCGTAAAATTTAGAGTAAATGACATGCATGGTACTTAAACTATTATTTTATATCATTTTGGTACCTAAACTTTTATTTTTTTCAAAATCATACGTGAGGTTTACTTTTTGTTTTGTTTTGGTACTTCGTCGTTAAAAACTTAACATAACTGTTTTACATGATACTTTTTAATGGGTAAATTACATCATTCATCACTCAACTATCTTCTCACTCTTATTTTAGTCACTAAAGTTTAATTTTTTAATTTAATTAATTAACTTTCAAATCACTCCTAATTTAACCACTGTAACTTTCAAATTTATTTATTTTTATTTTAATTACATATTAATAAAATAATAAAAAATGTAATACCACAAAAATTATTAATAAATAAATTAAAGTAATTAAAGCAAGAGCAATTTAAAAGTTGAGTAGTTGAGTTGAAAATTTTAAACTTTAGTGACTAAAGTAAGAGTGAGAAGATAGTTGAGTGTTGAATGATATAATTTACCCATAAAAAATAATATATAAACTAAAATTTTAATGGCGGGTACTAAAATGATATATAAACTAAACATTAAGTATGGTTTTGAAAAAAATAAAGTTTAGATACCATAATGGAATAAATTTAATAGTTTAGACACTTAACATGTAGTTTACCTTAAAATTTAATTTTGAATCTTTGCCATGAAAATACGTATACGATTTAAAGAAAGCATGATCTATTCGTATTTATCGCAATTATTATGTATTTAATATTTGCTTTCGTACACTGTCCGTAAACAACATCGTCTTGTCACGTAATAAGAACATAATTTGGAATGTAACGTAGAAAAGAACATTGCAACTTCATGCGAGATAATGAGTTAATTGCATCATATGTTCTCAAAGTATGAATCTCATTTTAAATTGGTCCTTAAACTTTTAAATATTTTAATTTCATCCTTAAACTATGATTATGATTCTAAATTAATTTTCAAACTTTTGAATATTTCAAATTTATCCCTAAACAATGACTTTTATTTTAATTGGTCCCTAAACTTTTTAAACATTCTAATTTTATCTCAAACTACATGTATATACTAATCACATCCCTTGTTAATAAAAGGGTTAGGCAAAGTTATGTTATATTTTGAGACAAAAACAAAATTTAGGTTAAACTATGGTTAAAACTAATTACATATTTGGATGAATTTGGGGATAAAATTGGAATATTTAAAAGTTTGGGGACTAATTTAGAAAGAGTCATAGTTTAGGGATGAAATTATAATATTCATAAGTTTAAGGCCTAATTTAGAACATGAGTCATAGTTTGAGGATGAAGTTAGAACATTCAAACGTTTAGGGACTAATTTAAAATGAGGGTCATAGTTTGGGGACATATGATGTAATTATCTCCAGGATAATTTAAGGGAAAATTGCCGAAATATTTTGAAATTTATACTTTATTATTTATATATATTTATAAATACTTTAAAATATAAAAAATAATACAAAATTCTACAGTTTTTGTCCGTAGATTATACGTCCGAAACTCTACCGGGTACGCACATGCAGAGAGCAGGATCATGTAATTTAATTCCAACAATGCCCCTAAACCGTAGAGTTTTTTACATCACGGAACAAGCATTGGGGTTCTCATCACTGAAAATTTGCGGAGGGTATGCCTGGAACTCAGTGGCATACCTCGGCGGGTAATAATAATATTCGTTCTTCTTCATTTCCACCGCCACTTTGGTCTCTTCCGTCGCACCTTCCGCCGCCGGTGCTGGGTCGGTGGACATGGCGGCGTTGGCTTCTTTGCTGTCACCATGACCATCACCTTCTTGTTTCTTGTCTTTGTTAATGTTGTCTTCTTCTTCTCCACCACCACCTTCTTTCTTGTCTTTATCGCCACCACTTTCTTCACTTTTCTTCTCCTCTTTGCTGTCATCTTTGGCTTTTTCTTCTCCGTCGGTCTTCGGCGCCTCTGCTTCTTGTTTCACTATCACGGCTTTCTTCCCGGTTCTCTTGTGGACGTACTCCACCAGTTTTGGCGGCTCAAACACTCCCTTTACCGTCACTTCTGAACTATTTAGATCCGGTTCAGCTGATTCCACCCCTACAACAACATGACATTTTTTTATTGTGTTTTGGTGTGGGGTTGGTGAGATTTGATTCAAAAATCAAAATCAGTAGAATTTGACTGAATTTTAATGGAATCTTAGTGAATCATAAAACAATAAAGAAAACAACAGAACCTTTCATTCCCTCAATACGTTTCTTAATTCCCAATGCACAAGCTTCACAATGCATGTAAACTTTCAGCACCACCGTGACCGCCGCCGGAGGCTGCAAAAACCAGTCCCAAAATAAAACTGTCAGATTAAGAAATGTTGAAAAAAATAAAACCTTTCAAGAAACAAACCTCTTCTTTCTTGTCTTCAGGCTTAGAGTTTTCTTTGTCCTCTGCTTTAGTCTCCTCCGCCGGAGCCGGTGGTTCTGGGATCGGCGAGATAAGCTCAACTTTACGGTGGCTCTTCCTTTGAAGTCTGTCGAGAACTTTCAAAGGATCCGCTTTGTCTCCTTTCATCACCACTTTATTGCTCTTGCAATCCGTCATTACATCCTCAACCCCTACAAAATCCCATTCAATCATTTCATTTCGCTCTCATCAACGAACCCAAAGCTGGTATTTTTACCTTGAAATCCGACGAGACATCGACGAACTTTACGAGCACAGCCTTCACAATGCATGAGAACTTTCAAGATAATCTCTTGAGCAACAACAACTGGAGCTGGTTCTTGTTTAGATTCTTCGCCTTTCTTTTCTTCTTCTTCCACTTCCTTCCCCTCCACTGGTTTATGTTTCTCTTCCTGTAAATGAAAAAGAACTGGAGATTAAGCAAACTACAAAGAAAATAAGAAGAAATAATGGTTTGGAGGGTTGAAGATGATGACCTCTCCCATTGGATTGGTGGAACTGGGTTTTTTCAAGTACGGGAGTTCTGTTGAGAGGAGAGCAGCTAAGATCAGAAGGTAGTGGAGAAGAAGAGGGGATTGTATTTATCTCGTAATCATCAGTTTCATTCATGGGTCCTGATGACCGACGTGGCATTTTGTAAGGGGGCACGTGCATTGGATGAGGCTCGGGACAAACGGTGGTTGACTGCCTTTCTACAGTCCCACACTGGTATACTTTGGGAATTTGATTTTTTCCTATTTTCGTCTGAAGTTAAATTAAGGGTAAACTACATATTTAGTATTTAAACTATCGGTTTTGATCCGTTTCAATATCTTAACTTTCAATTTTTTTAAATCGATACCTAAAGTTTAGTTTTTTTTTTCATTTTATTATCCCGCTGATAGGTTTTGAAAAAAATGAAAGTATACGTACCAAAACACATTTTGTACCTAACTCATACTTAATTTTTTAAAATAATTGAAAATTTAGGTACTAAAACAGATCAAAACTGATAGTTTAGGTACTAAACGTGTTAAATTTTTAACGACGGGTACTAAAATGAAACAAAAAGTAAATTTTAGGTATGCTTTTGAATAAATTGAAAGTTTAGGTACTAAAATGGATAAAAACTTATAGTTTAGGTACTCTATGTATAATTTACCCTTAAATTAATGTTATGTACATTTAAGTTTTATTAAATGTTTCGGTAAGTGCTTGAAAATAAAATTCTTGGAATTTTTTTAACTAGAAGTAACTAGTCTTATTAAAAAGTAAAATTATCTAAAATTATTATGAGGGTTTACAATTATTATCGTAAATTATTTGTACAATTTGTATATTTTCTTATAACATTGAAACTAGACTCTTTAGATCATATACGGACTATATATGAAAAAGGTTAAAAATCTAACCAAAAGACTTGAACAAAAAATAGATAGGAATAAATCTGTGTGCATCGATAAAACGAACCATAAAAGGGGATTAAGCTATTAAAAGACTACCGAGAATCGCAAATCAGAGCCGAACATCGTGAGAAACTATCCACGAACATAAAATAGCATATCCAAATTCAATTTGAGGCTCCATAGCAGGGAAGATTAACATGATTACAAATAAGTGTCATCTTGATCAATCATGGCGTCGTTAAATCCAATTCTACGAAAACATAAAATAAAAAGAATGGCTAAAAGACCGAGAAGAAGACAAAAAACATGCCACAAAGACAAAGAAAAACATGTCACAAAGATAAAAAAATACGCCAAAAATATAGAATTATTCTTATTAAAAAATAAAAAAATAAAAAAAAGAAGAGAACCTACAATCATCAACCAACATTTAAACGAATTTGGCTAAATAAAATTTAATAAAAAAATGTTGCTCTAATCTATAGAAAATCATACATACTCTAAAGTAAAACAAAAAAAGAAGGGATGAGGAGAGAACGATTAGGGTTTCTCCAAATTTAAATTTAAATTCTTTGAAATCTTAGAAATGATGTTATATATATATATATAATGAAATTTTAACATGCAGTGATAATAATAATATATTATATATAAAAAGTATACATATATAAAACTACTATTATTTATTATAAATTTTTAATATGATATAATAATAAATTTTAATGTGTGAATTGATAATAATAATATCTATAAAAATTGAAGTGCTTAATTACGTAGATTATATCAACTCTTTCCATAAATACTAGCCAATCCTAACTTTTAATTAGGATTTAAAACCGTAAATATCTCTTCTCTCACAGTAGCCGTTCGATTGGGCTAATTTTTTTCATCACGAGGCATCCATTCAGTTTGCTATATCATTATGTTGGTCACCACAAATAAATATTTGGTTTTCCCCTATAAAACATTAAGGTATTTTTTCCGATTCATATTGAATTTGAGTTTTAGTTGTAATTTTATAAACTCGATTCGACTTAAAAATAATTTTAAGTTCAAGTCAAGTTATAAAATACAACTTAAATAACTTAAATAATTCAAAAAATTTAGTAATTAGTAGATTGATATATGTATATCACATACGAAAAAAATATGAAGGAATACATATGTATTAAATATGATTATAAAATGTCATTTAAACATGAATCGAATAATATTATAATATTATAAATATTTACAATTAAATTTAAATAGAAACATTATATACTTATCAACTCGAATAACTCAAATTTTTTTGAACCGATTCGATCGAACACTCATCTTATGTATTATATGAATTAAATTAATAATATTTATAGTGTATGTAATGTGAAGGAGTAGAGGTTAAACTAGGTTTGTTAGTTAAAACATTAATAACGTTTTGGAATAATTGAGACAAGGTTTGACCAATATTATTTGGTTTTGGTTAAATAGTAATTTAGTCCTAGAGTTATATTTTGATATCTGATGGCTAAATATTATATATATATATATATATATATATTTAAAATATACTTTTTAGTCATAGTAGAAGGAAAAAGAAAAATTAACCCACACCTTAAATTTCTTTAGTCCCATGGAATTTTACCTCTCAAAGGTATCTTCAAGAAAGAGATCATTATTTTATTGGTAGAGAAATGCGTATGATTTTATGTTAGAGGAGATGAACATCTAAACTTTTAAGAGAATGCGAACTTATATAATTTTAAGAGGCGAAAACATATCATTAATTAAAAATACAAAGAGAATATCAAATATATATATTAATTTAAAAATTTTATAGAGACAACTACCCCCACGCGTCTACTTTGACCCATCCCTGCTTATAGCTATCACCGACTCATTTAAAAATACCCAACCTAACCTGAGTGACCTGACCCGTTGACCTGTAGACCCGAATCTAAAAGAAGGGGTAATTCTCTAAAAAAAATTACTCGATCGGGCAGGTACCAAACTCATGATTTTTCTCGGGTAGTTGGGCTGAGTCAGAGCTGAATTTTTTTATAACCGGGTGTACAACCTGACCTGATAATTTATATATATATATATATATATATATATATATATATATATATATATATATTAGTTTAAAAATACACTACTTGATTGACCCGACCTATTGACATGTTGAACCTAAAAAAAATCGGGTAATTCTATAAAGAAATTACCCAATCCTTGATTTTTCTCAGGTAGTTGGGCCGGGTCTGGGCTAAAACTTTTTTATAACTGGGCATTCGACCCGAACCAACCCAATAATTTTAATATATACATATACATATATTAGTTTAAATTATATTTTTATTTCAAGTTCCTTAATACTTTTACCTTAAAACTAAATTTAAATCCCTTAAAACTAACTTTAAATCACTAATTTTTGTGTATGGATGGAGTGTATTATGAACTTTTAAATTTTATGTATTTTTTATGTGTTTTTTTTTAAAAATTAAATAAAAAAAAATAAAATATAAGAATTGGGTACCCAAATTTTATGGGTACCCAAATTTAATTGGTACCCAACTACCAAATACTCGAACTTAACAGGCTAAATCATAGACCAACAAATATATTATCTGAAGAATCGGATACTCGAAATTTCAGATACTTAAAAGTGTGAATACCCAAATTTAAACCCCTAACCATAACATCATAAGTATAAACTTTTATCTTCTTTATGTCAATACAATATCTGACATAATTTTCTAACAATATAACTAGAGAAAAAAATTAAGAAAAAAGTTTGGTGAAAAAGGAACCTTAAATTGAGGGCTGGAGTTTCATAATTAGCAGACACATTTCACGCACTATGTTTAAGTTTTCGGCTTTTCTAAGTTTCTAACAAACATCAAATACCTACTTCTACCATTTTGTTTCCCTCCTTTTTATAGTATTATTGATTAGGATAAACTTTTTATTTGCTACCTCATATATTCTTAAATTTATGTTTTGCTCACTTTATTATTATTATTTTCATAATAATACTTAACATTATATTTTATTTCTATTTTATTATCCCATCGTTAAAAAATTAGCGGCGATACCGAAATAATTTTTTTATTTTCCATATCATTTTCTTTCTTCTAATAAACCACTAAAATCTATTTTTTAAAATAATTTTATCTGGATCAATAAGAAAAAAATTATAACCAATATTTAAAAAAATATTATTCGAATCCCTTTTTTCTTTCTACACGCTTTTTGTTTCTCCTTGTTTTTGTGTGATAAATTTAAATATAAGTTATGGGGAAACGTCAACATATATATGGTTAAGTTTAGTGGTTAAAAGGATTAATACACTTTTTAGTGCCTAAATTATAATTTCGAATAAGATTTGATGTTTAAAAATTTTTTTGTTAAAAATATGTGTCTAATGTTTTCTCCGTTACATTTATAGGTGTCTACCGTTATATTTTATAATTTTAATTTTTTAATAATAAAATATTATTTTTTAAAAAAGAGAAAAAATCAAAAAAATCAAACCACTCCCTCCCGCGTCATTCCTCACCCTCTCATTCCCCCACCTCCGACGACGAAGAATCACCATTGGTCGGGCTTTGTTCAAAACAGAGATCTCAACGGTAATGGCCGTGTAACGTATGGACGATTGTAGTTATCGAAATCACCAAAAAATAGTATCAAAAAACCTAAAAATTCGGCGATACTTCGTAACATTTTTCTCGATGATTCGTGCAGTTTCATGACGGGTGAGGGATTGGGTTTTGATCTTGACGGCGAGACATTTTTATGGTGTTAAAGGTGGCGGCCATAGACTGACGGTGACCGATCGGCGACGAATGATTAAAGTTTGTTTTTTTTAAAAATATAATATTGAGGTGTTTTAAAATAAAATATTTTTGAAAATTTATGTGTGTGACATATATTAGATAACGGTCAAATTTAACGATCGTTAAGGTCCAGATACCTAAAAGCGTAATGTTGGAAATGATTGACACTTTGTTTAGCAAAAACATTCTTTAAACACAAAATCATATTTTTGAGGTATAGTTTAGACATTAACAAATGTATTAAACCTTAAAAATATAATCCTTGTATAAACTGTTAAAGTCGAGGATTTATTTAATTGGATATATTAAAAAATTGTGGAGGGAATTAGATGAATGGACTAATAATTCAAAGTGTGATTATTGAAAGTTTAGAAAAATGGTATCAACCACCGGTTGTATTCAATTGTAGGGTGTGCCCATCATGGATGGACATAAATTTTCTTATATTTTACCTGTCTAATTTCACATCCTTAAAATTTTATAAATTTGTACTCTTTAAAATTTTTAACTACTAAAGTTCACACTCTGAACATAAATTTATGGATCTGTCTCATCCTTACTTACAAATATCGGCATCAATTAGACTAAAATAACTGCTGTATACCAATAGGATGTACTATCAGTAATGGCAACGGGAGAATCAAATTCAACAACTCCTTCACCCAAGTGCTTTGCTTTACATGTGAACCACTAGTTGCCAGAATTTTAAGCAAATTTTACTTATTCTCATTTTCACTACGACCAAATCCTCATGGCATTATTACCATTTCATTATTATTCAAGTTAAAAAGCAGATTTGTTGAAGAATCCAATTACCTATATAATTTAACAGAATTAATTCGTATTTGTGGAGTCTTAAATAAGAATATTGTTATTTCAAGTCATTTATGTTGGAGCGATTTTTGGATTTTCGAATAAATCGAAATTTTTAATTTTTTAATTAAAAGTAATGTGATTTTTTATAAGATCTATTGCTTCGAATAATTTGGGATTCCCTTTTAAGAATAAAAAAATATGGTTCGAGGAGTCGCTACTAATCTTTTGATTAGGTTGTGATTGGACACCCAAAAACATATTTGTCATTTTAATAAAAAAATGATTTTAATTAAAACAACAAATTTACGATATGCATATCATAAAATTGAGTTCGAGAGTCGATTATGCGAGGGGAAGTATTAGCACCCCACAACGCCCTAAATCGGTACCTAGACGATTAATTAATTGTATTTGCAATAAAATTTATGAGTTCAAATTTAATTTAATTTAAGATCCATTCAAATATTTTTTTTTGAATTTTGAAATGAAATATAATAATATGCAATTATTTCCCATCGAGAGGTAACGACCTCTCATATCTCGAGGCGGTCAATTCCTACCCCAAACGAAATAGAGAAATATTACGGTTTCATTGTAATATTCAGATGTACAAAATAAAACAAATTAAATTAAAAATTAGCAGTCCTTTTTAGAAAGAAGAATAATATTCGATTATTTAAAGACGTCGAGATCGAAACTTTTATAAGTTCTAACGATTTTTTCTCGAAAAATTTATATAGACGAACATTTCTTTTTCTCTTGTTCCTAAATTTTAGGTGGAATCATTTTTTAGGTTTCACTTGTGGGATACACTTTCATTTTAAAATCATCGGAAGTGATTTTCTTATAAGTTAAGATAGTCTCCTCACAATGACTTCAAAATGGAAGGGTATTACCCTTAATCTAATTATTTGAAACAAGTCGAGTCATACTAATTAAGGTAACATACTTTTAAATGCAAGCTAAATGCAATTAAAGCCACGTTTTAACAATAAAATAAATACACGTGATTTATACATTAAATTAGTAAATACGATTTGGAGATAAAAACACACATTATACATGAACAATTATTACTTAAAAAAAACCCTACATAGTGAATACATACATGTAAACATGATAAAGTACTCAAATATAATCATAGGAACATAGCAGCCCAAAACACAAATAGCAGAAACTAAGCATGCTTACTAAAATAAGGGCTAAATAATAATAAATAGAAACTTTAAAGGCTTAACAACAAACATAACCAAATGCACTTATGGGATTAAAATGAAAGTTTCACAAGTAACGTATCAAACACATAAACATGAAGAAAAAAAGGTCTAAACATGGGGACTAAAATAATAAACATTAAAGTTATGAGCAATGTGTAAAAGGGAACATAAATTAAAACAAGCTGTTACACGGGACTGAAACGTAATACTCGTAGGGTTCAGGGTCAAGTGTGGGAATATGGAAAATTGGATTGGAGATCAAAATGCAACGTATTAAAAGAAAATGGAGCTCACAAGAGATTAACCCCTCTCCCCCAAAACGCGGGTTACCCTAGCCCTTGAAACGCAACCATTTTGACCGTAACATATAATGATATTTTGGATTAACCAAAAAAACTAAGCCTCATTTCATTCCAAACTTTCCCTTAAAAAACTATTTATCTTCTCTGGATAACTCTCCCTCGCTCTCTCATTCACTCTTTCTTCTCTCGCCCCCAGCAAAAATAAATGGCTGCCGTGGCCTCCCCTTTACCTACAGGCTCTGACGAGGAGATGAATCGGTGCAAAGCTCACCCTAAACAGCAAAAAAAAACTCTCTAACCTCTAATCTAGCCTAACCCCGATAGTCTTCTATCTTCCCCCATCAAGGCTTCGACGAGGAACCAAGAAGTTTCGTATCAACTCCTCAAGAAATCAAAACCACCTAAGGCTTAAACTCCCATACAAATGACCCCATAAACCCTAAAACCAATCGACAAGGATGAGGGAATGAAGGTTTTACCTTTGACTCGGTGGGGTTTTGCTTTCAAACGATGACGACAGATTTCTTCTGGACTGGAAAGATGAGGATTTTTTGGTTAAGGGTTGTTTTTTTGTTGGACGGTTGCTCACTCATAAACATAGAGGTTTGATTTTCTTTCCCTCTGTTTTGTGTTGCTCTATTGTCGGTATATGATGATGGGTTACTCTCTATTGCTCTCTCTCTCTTTCTCCCTACCCCCAAAGACTCAATTTTCTCCCAATTATATATTACCCCTCATTTTTAATATATTTTCTCTTTATTTTGGCTTTGCATGTGAGGGATCTTGCTGGTGTGGCTGATCTGACGGTTTTGGGGGAGCTCTTTATGCCATTTGGAGTATTGAATAGTTACTTTCACTGTCTCCTGCCCATGTTGTGGAAGATGGAATATAGTAGAGGCATACGGGTGTTGGAGTGTATCACACGTGCTAGTGGATCAGACGGATGAGCTCCAGTGGTGGTGGTGTCAATATCCCTTAGGGTAAAACCCTAAGTTTCACTGCAACTAGGCCGTTAGATGTGCTCTTCATCCAACGGTGGATGATTGGCGACACTAGAGGCTAGATGTGGTTAGGGTTTCTCTATACCCTAAACTTCTGGGCTACTGTCAGCTTAGGCCATTGTTGACATTGGACCTCTAACCTTTTTATAACAAATGGATTTGTTAATGAATTAATTGGAATTGGTCCTTGTAGGATCCATTAATATTTTACATATATATATATATATATATTCAATTAGTTAAAATATATGTTTGTTTGTAACATGTAACCTTCATGACATATATGTAACACCTAATGTAGTTGATAACTTTGTAAAAAGACTTAATTTCTAGTCTTTTCACTTAAGTTATTGTTCGTCTAAACAAAGTATGCATAGCATTTTAGTTGCATATAGATTATATTAGCTTGTGGTGGATAAATTTTGCTTAGGCAAGATTTATTTGGCTTGATTGATGCTTTTGAGGAGAAAGGGTTGTTTGGATTGTGTTTGTGCAGGAAACTTACAGGGGAAGAACATTTCAGTCGTGACAACGTAAATTTGCAAAGGCCAATGGAACAGATGAGAACGTGAGGAGCAGATTTATCTCACTGAGGCAAGGTTTATCTGAGGAAGTTTGAAGCATGTGTGACGAAACCGCCTATGTCACAAGCTAGTTGGATGACCTACTTCACGTACAAGAAAGCCTTAGTTATTTTGACAGCCACCTTTCCTTTTAAGTCTGGACATTTATTTGATAACGGTTATTTAAGGAAACTCCAAAAAGCATGCAAAGCCCTAGGAGATTTTTCCTTATAAATAACCAGCCGTAGCCGCCAAAGAAAGGAGGCAAGGAAGAAGAGAGAAGAACTTTACCCAAGGCGTGAGCAAGCAACTGCAGTGCTTCTTCACCGTCTACCCACCGACCTTCCTTGGTGTCCTCCATAACCAGACGTTAGCAGAGCAGTGATCAGGCCTTGAGAGAGGGTGATCACCAAGGCAGGCGTAGTGCTGATCAGAATTGTCGCGACAGAGCCCCCGGGTCTGGGAGTCGTTCTTCCCTTGTTTTTAACTCTTTATCTATTTGGGGTTGACAAAACATTAAATCTTGGATGACTTTTGATAGCACCATGAATGTCTTGGTGTTGAACTTTGTTTTGCCTGAACAATATTTTTAAGTTTATGAATGATGAATTATGTTTTGAGTATGACTGTTTTGCTCATCGTTTAAATATTTTACCTTACACTGTAAGAGCATCGAGAGATCGCATGGGGTTTTGGTAAAACATGTCTTGACATTGTAAGAGCATCGAGAGATAGCCTTTTGTCTAGATAGTGATTCTTAGATTCGAGAGAGTTAAGATAGATCCATATGAGAAATGGAATGAATCCGGGATGGTGAAGTTCTAACTTGTTACCTTAGAGATAAGGAGTGAGTTTCAATAGACTAAAATGGATAGACGCTAGTGTAGGATAGCCAACGCCTATAGTTTACACTGAGAGGTATTGCTACAACAACAATTTGACAAACCAAGGGTTGTAGTTAACGTTGAGTAGTATTGCCATAAAAACCGTCTAAGAA